GTTTCCATCACTATAATTTATTTACCCAGAAAATATATTTTTCCTGGTTCATCAGGTCACATCTCTAGCGCCTCAGATTTTCCTGGGACATTTTCTCCCTCGTTAAGTGTGGTGGAGGTAAGCATTTTGGTGATTTCGGCGTTATCTGCCTAATAGGGATTCGAAGCTTCGAGTAAAGTCGACCCAAGCCGTCTTATCATCAGAATATTGGGTCTATTGTATTGCCATTTTGTGCATGGTTTAAGGATCGTGAAATAGTATCCGGTGGTGGTTTTTGGTGCCATAATGATGGTCACTCTTCTGGCAGTGTCTCTGGTGAGTCAGCAAAGGTTAATTATGCGTGCTTCTCCAATGGCTGTTATCCACCAAAAGAACCAAAACAAGCATAAAAACAATCAATTTCAAAACAAACAAATGTGGCACCCCCCCCATCTACAGCCAAATACAAAGTAGGCAGCAATTATACCATCTCTTTCACCAACGTTACAACTTTCCACATGTTGAAATCCAGTCTAAACCTGACTTTCTGTTCTTGACTGAAACTGGTATCAGTGACTCAATCCCATTGCAGGATCTCACAATCCGGGGCTACTCCCGCATTATAACAATATATGACCACCTTAATCACCACTCTCACGGGCTCCCTGCCAACAACAAGGCAGGGTTTCCATGTGACAGTTACACTAATAACGAGGACTCTGATCTCTCGTATATGTGTTTCCGCCTGACACTTAATCATAGTAGCACATTCTTCTGTGCCCTGTACCATCTTCAAAAGGGAGGGCCTATAATCTTCGTGGTGTGGAGTGATTTCACAGTGGAGGCTTGTATTTTGTACTAAGTCGGTCCTAAAATAGGTTCGACGTACAAAACTTTAGGAACTTGATATAATAGGTATAACGCAGAGTAATCTAGTTGTGGTCGCTGATACATTCGTATTCGACTAACTGTCGTCCGACATCAACTGACTGACCGACTGACCCCCCCCGGTTACTCTTACTACTCCTACTTATTATAGGTGTGAGAGTCTATTAACTATAGAATAGGGATGTTCCACTATAACACATCGATAGGAAATCAGAGAGGATTAACAATATCCGCACAGAATTTCCCTCGGCCAACATTCACATATGCGAGGACTTCAATATTCACCACAAAGAGTGGTTAGTCTTCTCTAACAAAACTGATTAATAAGGCAGATTTTGCAATGATTTCTCCATCGAATATAAAGTAAACCAGATTATTGAAGAACGCACACTGGTCCCGGATACGAAGGAACAGCAAACGAACCTCCTCAACATTTTTCAAGCATCCTGCTCTGAGAAATGCTTAGCAAAACTTTCAGCTCCCATTGGCACGTCAGATCGTTTCCTAGTCAGTGTCCAGATTGACAACACACTAATGACATCTCCTGATTTACCGTTCCATAAAATGTCTTTTTGATAGGAGGCTGACTCGAACATCTTTCGGTCTTATATGACGGGAGTTCCTTTCCCAACCCAAACATGCTGCCACTAAAACTGCTCCTCTATCCTCCGAGTAGATTATTTCTGGAATGAAGTGTTTTATATGCGCCCAAAATATCAGCAAAGACGAAAAAGTCAGCTCTGGTTCACCTCTGAATGCGCTGCAGCCATAGCTCACAGGAACCACTACTTCAAAATCTATCGCAAGGAGCGGTCTAGTCTGGCCCATACTTTCAGAACCGCCCACGATCTCTGTAAGAGAGCCCTGGAAAACGCACAGTGTAGCTACGTACGATCCGTGCAGGCCAATGTTGAAAAGAAACAAATTGGATCTCACAAATTCTGGAAGATCACCAACCAAATTATGAACAGAAGCTAAGCGCTTGATCCCAATATTATAAATGGCCCCCAAGTCATCATATCACCATCGACATAAAACGCAAAGCTCTTTGCACCAAACTTAACAACAGATTACAAAGGACATCCCCTAACCCAACTTTGCAAATCACACTAAGCACCATCTCAGTAATATACTCATTTCAGCTGGATAATTATCTAGAATTATCAAAAGCCTCTACCTAAAAAAACCACTGCTCAAGACAAAATTCCAGTGGTCGTCCTTAAGAATATCAACCTAGAATTATCCTCGATTCTAGCAAAGCTATTTAACAGCTACTTAAAGAGAAATCTTTCCCAATCATGTGGACGTTGACAAGCGTATTCTCAGTCTTCTAGAACGCAGAAAACCGATTCTCTCCTTCCCAGTATAGAATTATTCGTTTCCTTAGTATCATCAGCAAGCTTTTTGAGGTCTTAATCAACAAGAAAGACGTCGAGTACCCGGATAGGAAAAACATCTTGTGAGACGAGCCGTATGGATTTCGATCAGCTGCTGACGTCCTGACTACCATTACACAGAGATATTTACTGGGGCCCTTGACGACACACATACTGCAAGGATCATAGCATATCTCGGAGGCCTTCGACAAGTTGTGGCACAAAGTTTTGCTATACAAGCTCTCTAACTATGGAAT